GTTGCGCCTTCGCTTTGTTGTCCTTCTCGCTGCCTGCTTCGTGGTAGTCATGGCGAGCCAGAATTGCACCCGTTACTGCCAGACTCCTGGTCAGACTGACGTGTGCTGTGGTGAGTGACGTATGACCTTTGTGTTGCATAGGTAGTCAAAGTTATATATATATGTATATATTTATATATATGTGTGTGTGTGTGTGTGTGTGTGTGTATGTGTATATGTAAGAAAGGCATGTATATTATCTTTACTTTAAGGAGTGAGACGATAGGTTCGATTACTTTTATATGTAGTATGAGATAGATAGACACAGGCATATAGATAAGTATATGTCAAATAGATAAGTGATTATGAAGTATATAAACATGAATACACTTAAATATACATGGTACTGAGCTACAAATAATATTCATCTGCAAAATGTGTTTCCCTTTTTTTTCCTTCTCATTCCCTCCAATTACATTTCCAACCAATTCAATTCTCCACCAGATCCCCCACCTCCTCCTAGCTGCCCCTACCCCCCTCCGTGCATCGACTTCGACGGCAAGATCCCCGTAAGTATCCTCTTCGCTCCTTATCCGCTCGGCCCGGAGATATCGCCCGGTCTCGCTGCCATCAGGTGGATAAGGTTTTTTCTTTCTTTTCTTTTAATTTTAATTCATTTTCAACTTCCCTTCTTTTGTAAACCATTTGCTACTTTAAGGGAGTCAAGACCATAATTCAAGAAGACTTATTAGCATGCGAATGTATTGTCATGAGGGATTGAACATTCATAAAAAAAACATCATTTCATAATGGTTAGTTTCATTTCATAAATAGAATAAACTTCACATACAGGCACATAATATGATAGCACCCTAATGGGAGTCTAAGTTTAACGCCCTTGGATTAGATGAACTAAGGGAATGTCATGACATTTATTGTTTCTATATATGTGAATGTTTTTTTGTTTTTGTTTTTTAGTTGAGAGAATTCATGGTAGTTAATGAATGAGATTGAATAATTTCCAACTCATTTCGAGAATTACATTATTCTGAGGAAAAAGTACATCTTTCTTCCAACTCTTCCTCTCTTTCTATGTTGCTGTACGAAGTAAAGCGAGCTATCTCTCACGCACCGTCACTCCTCCTTTGCAGTTCTGCGACAGCGACGACCAGTGTCCACCGGGCCAGAAATGCTGCACAGACGCCTGTTCCCAAAAGAAAGTTTGTTTGCCCGTCTGAGCCATGCCCCAGCGAGAGCATGGCCGCAGAACACAAGCTCTGGACCGACTGTTGAGGAACTGCGTGCTTGGCCATTTTATCTCTCTCTTGCTTTTGCTTTTCATTCGCTTTTTTTATCCTTTTCCCTGTGGACGCTACCAAGATATTTTTCTGTTGACATAAAATCCCTGCTCTCAAATGCACAAGGGTGCCCTTTGACCAATAAATTTGGATTGGAAATTTGTTTGCACGTTTTGTTTTCCTGTGAATGGCTTACGTGCACCAAACATGGTGATACAAAAACGCACCTATGGAACTTTTTCAAGAGACACGTGCACTAAGCCAGTTTCTGATCGGGTACGAAATCAAATACATAAACCGTGTGTGTATAGAAATGCACGTACACATACATATATGTATGCATATATAGATAGATATATACATATCTATGCAAATATATACATATATATACAGTGTGTATGTATATGTACACATACATATATGTATGTATATATGCATATAGAAATATATACATAAACATATATATGTATATATATATATATCTATATATATATATATACATACAGTCACACACACACACACATATATATATATATATTGTAGATATATGTGTGTGTGCGTATATAAATATACATGTGTATACATACTAATATATATGCATGTATATATATATATATCTATATATATATATATGTATATATATATATATGTATATATATATATATATATTGTAGATATATGTGTGTGTGCGTATATAAATATACATGTGTATACATACTAATATATATGCATGTATATATATATATATATACATATATAAATATATATCTATACATACACACATGTATGTGTGAATATACATGTATAGATAAATAAATGTATAACTATATAATTGTATATATATGTACATATATGCGTATATAAATATATATACATACAGTCACACACACACACACATATATATATATATATACATACAGTCACACACACACACACACACACCACACACACACACACACACATATATATATATATAATATATATATATATACATACAGTCACACACACACACACACACACACCACACACACACACACACATATATATATATATATTGTAGATATATGTGTGTGTGCGTATATAAATATACATGTGTATACATACTAATATATATGCATGTATATATATATGTTTATATACATGCATATATCTGCACATATATATTATATATACATATATATACAGTGTGTATGTATATGTACACATACATATATGTATGCATA